AGGAAGGGGTGTTGGGGCTACCTTGCAGATTTAGGGAGATAATCCCAATTTGTCAAGAGAGGCAAGAGGAGGGATTTCTGCCAGCGAGGATCATTTTCTTCTTTTATGAGAATGAGGGTGGGCCCAGGCTGTGGTAACCACAGAGAATGAGAAAAAAAGCATTTGATATCATTCATAGTTTTTTGGGGGGAGTAGGGGAAGACCCATTTAGGGTAAAGCTATGCTTTCATACCATTAGGGCAATTGGTTATCTTCTAGAAACACATTGATGTGAAGGAGGCAGAGGTTAGCGACTAGCATATATTAAAAGACCTACCCTGTGCCTGGAGCTCCTGCTTGGTATTTTACTTTTAGATCTCATTTGATCTTCATAGCAACCTGTGTGAGGTGATTATTTATCCTCATTTAACCGCTTAAATGGCATAAAGTCACACAATTATTAGAGTTGGGATTTAGAACCCAGGTTTACCACAGTACAATAAAACATTTGTATTTTAAAATAGCTGTAATTTTCGGCACTTAATAACACTGGCAAAATTTTTCATACTCGTGTGTTTTACCTTCATATTACTGCATTGATTCTTAAATAATTTTAAAATTATGAAATAATACGTATTTAAAATTGAAATTAAAAGCACACATGTACAGGAAAGCACAAAGGAGAAAGTAGAAATCATCTCTTTACTACCCTTGGCAACCACTACTAGCATTTTGGTGTATATCCGTCCATGCGTATATGTGTATTTCCTGTGTATACTCCCTCAGACCCCTCTCCTGTCTCTTGGCATCTCTAAAGTGTCTCCTTGGATCTCACCTTTCTTCTAGGCTGGGGGAATCTGGTGGGCTCTTTGAATTACTGTCTGCAGTGGAGTGTTGCTCTTAGGTGGCCTCAAGCACAGATCCCTCCTCTCATCAGTCATGGCCATGGTAGCAGAATTAGTGATTTATTAAACCCTCAGCTGCTTTTCTCAAAAAGGCAACCGACAATGATGAGACTGGTGGACATTTTTAAAACTTCCAGGACTATTTAGTACAAACATTTATGTTGTTTCCGTTTTCACGTTTAAGTAATGCTGCTGTGAAAAATAACATTGTGGATAAATCTTTGTTCCCATTTTGGTTTTTCTTTAAGTTATTTAAAGAGGAATTACTAGGACCAAGGTATGTATCTTTTTTAAGGTTTTTGATACATATTGCCAAATTGCTGTCCTCTCCGGTAATGGGTTTTTTTAATAAGCCAAACTTGAGTTGTCCAATCTTTGTTTATATTTTTTAGATTTTAGTCAACAATTATCTTATCAATTTAATATACAAATAACTAAATTAGGTGGAGCATATGGCACCCCCAGCTTTGAAGAGAAAATTACTCAGTTGAAATAAACAAAAGAGGCTATAGGAATTCATAAGGAACCTTGGAAAGTACTGTCATTCTGGACTGTAAAAAAGCAATTCCTCACTTGAATTTAGGTACAAGGTCGATGATATGGACTTTAAAACTAGCATTTTCTCATCTCAGGTTAGGGAAACCCCAGTTTTCATCTCCAATTTCATGGGACCCCCTAGGCCTAACTTTGTGTCATAACAAGGCTAAAGAAGTTCAGCTTGAACAGTAGTATGGGAAACAGAATAATCCACTCCCAAGGCTGTCTACACCCTAAACCAGTAAATATGACTAGATGATCTAGGTGGGCCCAGTGAGATCAGATGAGCCCTTAAGCAGTGCCTTCTCCTAGCTGAGGGCAGAAGAGGAAGTCAGAGATTCCAAGCATGAGAAGAATTTGACAAGCCATTGCTGGCTCTGAGATATGTGGGGCCATATGAAAAGACTGGAGAGAGGCCTCTCTAGAACTGAGGGCGAATACCTGCTGACACTCCGCAAGGACACGAGGATCTCAGTCCTATGACCGTAACATAATGAATTTTGCAATAGCCTGAATGTACTTAGAAATAGATTATTCCCCAAAGTCTCCAGAGAGGATCACAAATCTGCTGACACTTTGATTTCAATCTTGTGAGACCCTAAGCAGAGAACTCAATTGAGCCACGCTAGGCCTGGACCCACAGAAACTATGAGATATGGGTGTTGTTTTAAGCCACTAAGTTTATAATTGTTTATAGCAGCATAATACACAGAGCATGGGAAGAGATACAACAGTATCATCTCTTTATTACTAGAATAAAGGATCTGTAGGATCCAGAGGATTCCATTTATTCATCTACAGTGTTTTAAAGTACTGACTATGAATCAGACCGAAAAACTGACAGCCATAGGAAAAAAAAATATTAGTAGCTAGTGGCAAGTTTATCTCTGATTTTGATGTTTGCTTATGCCCATAATCTTACCGCCTATTATTGATGTTTTCATATATTTCTTTGTTGTCTTTTTTTAAAGACTTTTTTAAAGTCTTTTTTAATGCATATTCTGTAAAATTGTGTGTATCTAGTTTTTCAATTAATGTTATGGTAATTTTCTAATGTTATTAAATAATCCTAATAAACATTATATCTTATACTTCAATAATATTCCATCGTTTATTTCTGTCATACTTTATTTAGCATTTCCTTGGTTATCTATAATGTTCAGTATTGTTTTCTGTTGATTTAATGATTGTCTTATTCCTTGCACTGAACAGTTCAGGTAAATAAATATCTAGATCAAACTATAAAGAGATTTTCACATAATTATGTTGCAGTTAAATTCACATTGAATGATGTTCTTTTAAAAGCTGGATCTTGAAGATGGTAATGGTTTTCATCAGCACATTCTACGTTGCGCTGTTGGCTAACTACTTAATCTATTTTTGGCTTAAAAATAAGATTTGACTTACTCTTATTGTGATAGTATAAGTTTTCCCATAGAATATGAAATTTGAAATTTTGAGTAGTAATTAGAAAGAGGCAGAGTTTTGAATTGTAATAAGTATTTGTAAAATCAATTTTGGAGATCGTAACAAGAGTTTTATATTATCTTTGAAGTCAGCAGTAATAAAACATAGCTTATATACTAAAGTATACCACTTTTTTTTGTTCATTCATTTATTCATTCAACAAATTTTTTCTTTTTTTTGTTTTTGCTGAGGAAGATTCGCCCTGAGCTGACATCTGCTGCTAATCTTCCTCTTTTTTTTTTGTATGTGAGCCACCACCACAGCATGACCGCTAACAGACGAGTGGTGTAGGTCCGCACCTGGGAACCAAACCTGGGCTGCTGAAGTGGAACATACCAAACTTAACCGCTAGGCCATCAGAGCTGGCCCTAAATATTTCTTGAATATCTGTTATATGCCAGACACTATATTAGAGACTTAGGATACAGCACTGGATAAAATAGTCAAGTCTCTGCTCTCATGGAGTCTATGTGTGAGGGGGGGATTACCTAGGAACAATAAATATAAAGAATAGACATTATATCAGGTAGATAAGTGTTTTGAAGAAAAATGTAGCAGGGTAAGGTAATAGGCAGTGACAAAAGGGGATAAATTTTAGATATTTAAGAAAAATGAAAATATTGATGCTTGAAATGCACAGAGGAATTGGAAGAAACCACTTCAACAATATAAAGAAATAGTGAAGAAAATAGTTTATTAAATGTGATTTTTGTTTGTGATAGTTCACATAGGGGTATTTCCTATATAAATTTAAATTTAGCCTGTTAAATTACTCAAACTTTCTTTGTTCTTTTTATAACTAGTTTTGGCTGGAGGTGTTTGTTGATTTGAAGTATTTTGTTGACTCTGCCTTATTTTATTTTCGTGGGTTTCATCACAGTCTTGGTTCTTTATGTTAAGGTATTAATTCCTTGGACTATTTAGTCCATAGACAAACAGAAATGCTTAACATTGATTTTACAAGGGTGAAAAGTATATAATGCCTTCAGTTAGTAAAGGTGAATTGTTTCATAAGAGTAGAGAAATGTCAAATAAAGCATTTGCTGATGCCTGTATCGTCAGCATTTACAACTAAAAAATATTTTCAAATGTATAACTTTTCAATAATCATTGATAAGTTTTTCTGCATATCAAATAGATAAAGTAATTTTCTTTAAAGAAAATAAGATTTGTATAGATAAATAGAAAGCAGTAAGTATATTAAGTGAAGCGATAAATTAATAAGAATTTCAAGTCATGAAAGTTGAGTTGTTAGACAATATTAATGCTAAAGAAAAGCACCATTTTGAACAGAGGAAAGGGTTACTTTCAGATGGTCTCTGTCTTTCTGTCTCTTTCTCTCTCTCTTTTAGAAAATCTTATGTAATGGGCTTTGGATGATCTTAGAAAACCTCATTTTAAGAAATATCCAGTTTCCTAGGATCTAGTCAATAGTGTATTTGTATGAAATATTCTGTTAGGACTTACAACATTAAGGAACAAACTCCAAATGACACTGTTGAAACTGTCCATGTCTAGTATTCTTGTTTTATAGTATTTTAAGAACTTGTGTAAGTTTTGTTAAAATACGTTTTTTTCCTGAAGGTATAATTTATGTGAGATTTTTCATATATGCTTTAGAAAATAAGATATAAATACTTGAGAGTAGGAACTATCCTTTTCTTTTTATATTTTTCTTTTCTTTTTTTTCTTTTTACTTTTTGTGAAGAAGATGGGCCATGAGCTAACATGTTACAACCTTTCTCTTTGTGCTTGCAGAAGATTGTCTCTGAGCTAACATCTGTGCCAGTCTTCTTCTATTTTATGTAGGATGCTGCCACAGTGTGCTTGACAAGTGGTGCTAGGCCCCGTGCCTGTGAGCCAAACCTGCGAACCCTGGGCCACCAAAGCAGAGTGGACAAACTTAACCACTATGCCACCAGCCCAGCCCCAGAATTATCCTTTTCATCTTATTTGTAGTCCAATGTAAAGCATGACAGTTTTCCGAAGACCTTATTAATACATTAATAAATATTGAGGAAATTTTCTACTGGTCGTTTCCTATGTTGATGTTGCATATTTTTTTTTTTTTTTTTCAGTTTACAGATGTGATCCAGACCATGTGAATTACTTTGGTCAGTCGGAGTGAACATTCAATAATGAGTGGTGCAGCATTGGGACTCGAGATTGTTTTTGTCTTTTTTCTGGCATTATTCCTACTTCATCGATACGGAGACTTTAAGAAACAGCATAGACTTGTAATTGTTGGAACGCTGCTAGCTTGGTATCTCTGCTTTCTTATTGTCTTCATACTGCCTCTGGATGTTAGTACGGTAAGAGGTGAAACGGATTTTCACAATTTAAATGGCAGTTGTAATCATACAGCGTGCTTGAGATATGTTAGTTCTTAAGACAGCTAAATTATGTAAGGTTATATTTATATTTTGAATTTAAATGTTACTATATGAATTTGATCATTAAAAAGCATAGCCAGGAGGGTAATTTTGGGTAGATAGATTGATACACTCCAATATCCCTAAAGTACTTGATAACCCTTTGATTTTTGTTTTTAAACCATGTGTTCATTGCTTTAGACAATATACAACCGGTGCAAGCATGCTGCTGCAAACTCCAGCCCTCCCGAGAATAACAGCACTACAGGAGTGTATGCTGCTACCCCAGCTCCAAGGTATTTTTTTTTTTTTTTTTAATATTGTAGAGGGCAAATTGTTTAAAAATTGTCAGTTTTTACCATCTGGATTTTGTATTTATAAAAGTGTATCCTCATTCTCTACTCACCCCTTCCCCACCTCCATCCTTTGCTAGTAGACTTAATTACTTTGTATTTTCTTTAAATTTAAATCTTAAATTTAAATTTTAAATATTTGTTGGTGCATAAGGCGTTTCAGTAGATGCTAATGAGAAACTTGGAGAAGACCTGATTTTTTAGTTTTGGTTTTACCGTTTACTTAGTATGTGACTTCCAAAAGCTATTTTTCCTCTCAGCCTCTGTCTTCGATCTAAAAAATGGGGCATATGTTTTCTCTTTTGCCTAATTTATAAGGTTGTAATAAAGAACAAGGAGGTTATTCTGTATGTAGCATATGCCTTTCATGTTGCACATCCTTTGAAATCATTACAGTTTTAGACCAAGAATGAATAAAGTTCAAATTATCAAAATGTTATGTTAAATTCATATCAAGCTTCCAAGTAAAAAACTAATATATGTTGACTATAGCTTTTACCAATGCTTTAGGTAATATTTTCATGTTTCTTTGTGCAGCTTTTATTATTATTTTTTTAACCTAATCTGGATAAGGGTAAATTTAAAATGTAGACATTACTCCCCTTTGAACCATCATTACAATTGATATAGATCAGCAGCAATTGTGGATTTTTGGAAGCCCTTGGACTAAGGAATATCCTTACAGTCCAGGAAGACTGACTGTTAATGGAAGAATATGTGGTCAGATACACATCAGATCTTCAGAAAATTTGCAGAATTATCTCTAAGTGCTGGCATGTATCTCCATAGGAGCTATGCTATAGTGATTGATTTAGTTAGCATTTCAGTTTCCAGGAATTAGTCACCTAATTTCTTCCCCCACCCCTCCCAAAAATAACCAGCCCCACAAATGGGGTGAGTGTGTATTTTAAAGGTAATCATCAATTTTAAAAGTAATCAAATCAGAGATTTAATTTTATGATGCATTTGCTTTTAAAGACTATTGCATTTTTAGACTATTAGGTGAACATTGTGTCCTCTTTTTACTCAGTGACGAAAAATACCTTGAAAGTTGAAAATTGAAGTGGTGTTCCTCTCTAGAACAGACTATTTTGTTCCCTTTGGATGTGTTTTTTAGCTTGACAGTCAGCTTTGAATTTTAAGTTTTCTATGAAATTTTACAAATTAGAGTCAATGATTTAATATCTGAATGTAAATGAACTTTGCCACGCATGAATTAATCATGTAATTCATTTATTATTATTATTTTTATTTTTTTTTGGTGAGGAAGATTGGCCCTGAGGTACTATTTGTTGCTGATCTTCCTCTTTTTGCTTGAAGAAGATTGTCCCTGAGCTGACATTTGTGCCAGTCCTCCTCTATTTTTTGTATATGGGATGCCACTATAGCATGGCTTGATGAGTGGTATGTAGGTCCATGTCCAGGATCCAAACTCGTGAACCCTGGGCCGCCAAAGCAGGGCATGCAAACTTAACCACTATGCCACCAGGCCAGCCCCTGTAATTCATTTAAGTTGTCATTTATGATTAATTGGCTTTAAATTGTTATTAAACAGCCAACATCCCTGTTTTAAGCCATGGAGTTACATTCCTGATGGAATCATGCCAATTTTCTGGAGGGTGGTATATTGGACATCGCAATTTTTAACATGGTAAGTGGTAGTGAAGAATAAAATTTTTAAAAGTTTGGTTAAAGTAAAAAAAAGTGATTTTTTTTTTTAGTGAACCTTCATGCTTTAGAATTTATTCAAATATCACTTATTTTCCCCTTAAATCTGTCCTCTCCCTTTCTGCTTGTGCAAGTCTCTCCCATCTTAAAAGAAATGAAAAACCAAACAAAAAATAAAAAACAAAAAATTTTTCTTATTATCCTTCTTTTCAAGTTATTGTCGTTTCTCTTGACCCTCTTCAGTTCATTTTTCCAGCCCCATTATTACATCAAACTGCTTTGGCTAATATCATCATCTCCTGAGTTCTGTCTGCTTAGCCCAGCCTTCTGAATTGCCTTCATGGGCTCCATTTCTGTGACTCATTTCCTAAATATTGGTATTCCCTAGGGTCCCATCTTTAGTCCTGTTGTTATCTGACTCTCCCTGCACAGCTTTAATTATAGCCATAGTTTCACTGACATGTGATGCGTTCTGAATCTTACTTTTTACCCACTGTAGCTTTGTCTTTTGGCGGTGCTCCAGACTCACATTTTATCCACTGCCTGCTGAGCATCTTAGATATCCTGCAGGGACTAAGCTCTAAAACTGGAGGTAGTGAACACTGCAAGCGAAAATCGTGCAGCAGAGTAGAGCAGTGCCCCTTTAAAGTCATGTTCATTGAACTCGACTGGGCCCTGAACATTGCCAGACTTTCCTCCTTTGTTTCTCTAGTCTACTTGCTCTTTGTTCTTCACCACAAATCTTTCCAATCACTTCAGACCTCTGCTGTTCCCTTTGTGGCTCTCTCTCCTACCCGCTAAAAACAGTCACCTTCTCTCATAGCAGATGACTATACTTTCTACCTCAGAGTGAAAGCAGATGTCATCAGATGGCAGCTCTTTCAGCTTCTCACCAACGGACCCTACCTACCTACCCATCCGTTCTTCCTTCCCCTCCCCTTCAGTTGAAAGACTCCCTCTTATTACAGTTAATCCTTCTTCCTGAAATATGAACCTATCCCCGTCAGCTCTTGTTACCAATACTTTCAGCTTCCAATTTCAACAAAGCATGCACAGTTCTCTCATACTTTGAAAACAAAGGGAAACAAACAAAAAGTCTCTCAAATCACAGCCCTTTCCAGCTTTTAGCTTCTACCTCAATGATCGACCACTCATCACAGCTAAATGTTTTTTGGAGACTTTTTTTATTGAAATATAAATCAGTACAGAAAACTGCACAGATTGTTGTTTAGTTTGATTTTTTCAAAGTGAATACACCCATATAACCACTCAGATGATGATATAGAACATTAAACAGTGTCCCCAGAAGCTTTCCTCATACCCTTCTCCCAGTCTTTACCCTCCCCAAAGGTAACCATGATTCTGACTTCCATCACCATAGAATAGTTTTGCCTGTTTTTGAACTTTATATACATGGAATTAGACAATGTGTACTTTTTTGCATGTCTCTTTTTTTGCTCACATATTTGGAAGATTAATCTGTGTTGTGTTGCATATATCAGTATTCTTTCCTGTTTCATTTCTGTAAAATGTTCCATTTCATGAAAATACCATAGTTTATTCTACCCAGCTAAACTTCTTAAATGAGTTGTCTACATTTAGTTTCTCTGTTTGCTCATTGCTTACTCATTCCTCAACCCATCAAACCCTATTTTTTACCCCCACTTCTCCCCTCACACATACAGCTTCTTAATTTACTTGACCTCTTGGCAACATTTGATTCTATTGTTTTCTCTCTCCACTTTCAAACACTTTCTTCTTCTGGTTTCTACTCCATATGCTTCTTAGTTTTCTTCCCTACCTCTCTACACAGTTCTGTCTTAGTCTCCTGTGCTGGACCCTTCTCCTGTTTCTCTACCTCTCCTTTAAAAGTTGGTATTTCTCAAGGGTCAGTCTCAGTTCTTTCCTTCTCGTTCTATGTACTCACCCTTCCAGATCTCATCTACTCATGTTATTTCAGTACTATTGATGTGATGACTCTGGAATCTACCTGTCTTTCTAATCCTCTCTGCTGAACTCTGAAGCTGGATAGGCAGCTACTTCTGTGCAGCTCCTTTTGGATGTCTCCTAGGTACTTCAAGATCAGTATATTGACAACCAATTTTCTCCCCTCCTGCTTCTGACCATGCCACCACCCCTTACTCTGTCCCGAATACTTCCAATGTTGTTCCCTCTCAGTTCATTCTCCATGCTGAATTCTTATCAGTCTTTAGAAAACTAAAATTAAATCGTGTCTCCTTTCTGTTAAAGAAAATGATTCCTCATTATTCTTTGAGTGCAGTCCAAACTCTTTATAAAGACCTTAAAGAAGGGCCTTTTTTAGAGTCATCTTCAGTCACTCACATTGTGGCACTCCCTACTGGTCATTGTGGCCTCCTTTGCTCCCAGGAATGCTTTGCTGTCTCCTGCCTTAGGGCCTTTGCTCTCCTCAATTTTAATATTACAAAATTATTAAATCATCTATTATAGTTTATTCAGTGTTAATAATTATTCAAAATCATATTTAATTGTGAAAAGAACTACAAGTTAAAATTGAGATTCATGTATTTCTGGTATTTTGAAATTATGCAGACATATCAAGTGTTTTTTAATTATATTTTTTCCAACCATCTAGGATTCTGTTACCTTTCATGCAGTCATACGCAAGATCAGGAGGGTTTTCTATCACCGGAAAGATCAAAACTGCACTGATTGAGAATGCAATCTATTATGGCACCTATTTGCTGATTTTTGGAGCATTTTTAATTTATGTAGCTGTAAACCCACATTTGCACTTAGAATGGTAAGAAAAGTTGTCTTCTTAACATTGTTTCTGTGTATTTTGTTTTTAAAAATTAATTTTTATCTCATATATTCAGATAGATATTTCATCAAGAAACATATCAAGTTATATGTTTTATAGATTCCCCCAAAAGAGTGTCTGAATATGGGGCCGGCCCAGTGGCGCAGCGGTTAAGTGCGCACGTTTCGCTTCGGCGGCCCGGGGGTTTGCCGGTTCGGATCCTGGGTGTGGACATGGCACCGCTTGGCATGCCATGCTGTGGTAGGCGTCCCACATATAAAGCAGAGGAAGATGGGCATGGATGTTAGCTCAGGGCCTGTCTTCCTCAGCAAAAAGAAGAAGATTGGCAGCAGTTAGCTCAGGGCTAATATTCCTCAAAAAAAAAGAATATCTGAATAATTCATATTACTAAGAAGGGAAATATGGAATAACATCTTTAATTACAGCTATTAGACAAAGGACTAATGCTTTGTCTAATAGCTATATTTTGAAAGTATTGACCTTATCAAGACTTTGGATAGTCTTTTGAATTCTAGTTTTTTTTTTATTGGAACTTGTAAGTGTTTTTTCTTCTGTTCTAACTATAGTTTGAGGGTGTATTTCTCTTTACTGTTAGATTTAGACATTGCAATAAAATTGAAATCTATATTATACTTGTGCTCTGTAATATACGTGAAGAGGTACATCTGAAAAATTTAGTAATAGAGCCATAGTGATAATCCTCACTGTTGCATTTCTGAGATTTGTGTAGGTCTGTCTCAACATGAGTTAAAATTTTTTTAAGCTTTAAAATTTTTCAGGCTTCTCTTGGTTAATACTGAGTAAGAAGGTACCTAGTGAAAAATATGTTTTCTTCAGGAAAATCGGTACATATTTTTTGCCATGAATTATCCTAGATTTTAATTTTAACTGTAATAGAAGCAGTCTTTCCTGTGTTAAAGTTCATTTATGCAGTCACACTCTAACTTTCCATTAAAACCCACAGATTACCTGCTGTTACTTAAACAGTAGCTGAGGATTTGAAGATCTAGTTTTTTAATATAAACTCCTAGCCATCCTTTAGTGCTGTTGTTTTCTGAGAAACCATTTAACACTAGTTTCATTTTATATTTTTGTTGGAAAAATTTATCTATCACATCTATCTGCTTGTGTTTTCTCTTTCTTAGGAACCAGCTTCAGACAATTGGGATAGCTGCTGCAAATACATGGGGTCTATTTCTTCTTGTGTTGTTGTTGGGGTATGGCTTGGTGGAAATTCCTCGGTCGTACTGGAATGGAGCAAAAAGAGGATATCTACTTATGAAAACTTATTTTAAGGCAGCCAAGTTGATGACAGAGAAAGCAGATGCAGAAGAGGCTTTAGAAGATGTCATGGAGGTAATAAGTTTAAACCTTACAATCAGTAGTCAGCAAGTTGTGTGCATCTTCTTTCTGATACACTGTTGGGCTTTAGACTGAAAATCTGGCAATGCGCAATTCTTAAGAATTGCAGAATTCTTCTAAGATGACTTCTTACTGGCAGTTCAGCTTCATGAGGTGTCTTCTCCATCTTCTAACTGACAAAGATTTAGGGAGAATATATTCAACAGTGCAGGGTTGTGCTTGTTGTCTTGGGGTAACTTTTAATAGTGCCTCTTTTACTCTCAAAAGTCTCTCAGATTAAATGATAAGTTATATGATTACCCTGACAGAGTGGAAGTGAAAATAGCAATCAGAGGACACTTCTTCCTGAAAGTTTAACCAAAAGTGATCCCACCAAGTCTGGAAACCCATTTAGATAACAGTTTGCATTAGAGTTTGTATCAATAAGTTTTGTTTCCCATCTGTAATCTTAGTAAGGCAGTTCATTTTATTCACTTGTAAAAGGCAGATGACTTGAACTAACTTCACAAAGTTGTTAAAAGTAAAAATTTCAATAATATATATAAAAATATACAACAAATTATAAAATTTTGCTGTTAAATAATAGTTTGGTTATTGATTTAAAAGGAGATTAGTGTAGTCCCTCACATTTTGCTTTTCTGGGGAAATATGCTATTCTGATAATGTTACTCTCCAACTTAAAGCCTCATGTTGAAGGTGTTTCATTTATGTTAGAATAACTCCAAAATATTTTAATGTGGCCTGTCAGAAAATAATTTGGCCCATGTGTAGCTCCCCAGCCTTATCTCAAGCCTCTGTCTTCCTCACATTGGTCAATTTTGGTTCCTCAAACTTGCTAGTGATAATGAAATAGCAAACACTTATATAGACTTAAATTTCCCAGTCTTGACTTTGGTTCCTCAAACGTAATAATGGTGATGATAATAGCAAACAAGTATGTAGCCTTACTTGTTTGCCTATGACTTTCTGAGCACTTTACGTATATTAATGCATTTAATTCTCACAACAACCTTATGAGGGAGATTTTTTTATAGCCATTATATTAATGAAGAAAACGAGGCACAGAGAGGTTAAGTAAGTTTCCTATGTTTACACAGCTAGTGAGTGGTAGACCCAGCAGTCTGACTTTAGTTCATGCTTTAACAGGGATTGGCAAACTTTCTGTAAAGAGCCAGATAATAAATATTTTAGGCTTTGTGTGCTACATGGTCTCTGTTGCAACTGTGTCACTGTAGCATGAAGGCAGCTGTAGACAATAGGTAAATGAATGAGCGTGGTTGTGTTCCAAACAAGAACAGGTGGTGGGCCAGATGTGATCTGCTTGCCGACCCCTACCCTTACCATTACATTCATCGCCTCTCTTTTCTGTCTTTGAGTGTGCTATTCCCAAACTCTTGGAATGCTCTTTTCTCCACTCTCTTCAGCTAATTCCTACTTCATTTTCAGGTCTCAACATAAGTGAAAATTCTTCAGGAAAGCCTTCTGTCTAGTTTCCTGGGGCTGTCATAATAAAGTACCGCAAAATCGGTGGTTTGAACAACAGAAATTTATTGTCTCACAGTTCTGGAAGCTAAAAGTCCAAAGCCAAGGTGTCAGTAGCGTTGGTTCCCTCAGAGGGCTGTAGGGAGAGTCTGAACTGTGCCTCTCTCCTAACTTCTGGTGGTTTGCCGGCAACCTTTGGTCTTCTTTGGCTTGTAGGTCTCCGCCTTCATATGCACATGGTATTTTCCCTGTGTACCTGTCCGTGTGCAAATGTCCCCTTTTTATGAGGGCGCCAGTCATGTTAGATTAGACGTCCCCTGCACACCAGTATGACCTCATCTTAATTTAACCAGTTATATCTGCAGCAATCCTATTTCCAAATAAGATCACATTCTCGGGTACTAGGTGGTCAGGACTTGAACATAAGAATTTTTAGGGGCGCATAATTCAACCTGTGGCACCTTCCCTGGTCATCCAGACTCTTAGACTCTTGGCAACCATTTTTAAGTGCATGGATAAATGAACAAAAGAATGTACACTATGACTGAAAAATTTTATCTTGACTTTGCAGCTTATAGTCCCTGTAAAATGTAAGAACTGTAGCAGAAAACATTGATTCAAAATGTAGGAGTAAATCTCCTGTAAATAGTATTCTATTACATTTCCTCAGGCATATGGTGGATATTATTACATTTTTCAAAAGAAAAATTTTTATATTTATATTTGAAATTTTGAATTATTTTGAAAAAATATTTTAAAAATTTATATTTCATACAATAAAATAATTAATAGAAGGTAATTTAAATTTGATACTGTTCCCTCAAAAGTTGGTGTTAAATTCAGTTGTTTCAGATTTGAGGAATACGGATTTCACCATTCATTCAGTATTCCTTCAGCGAAAGTAAGTCTGGTTTTTTATTAGAGATCTGGATTTTGCTAGGAGGAATCTTCAATGTCTGAATAAAGACAAGTTTTGTTGTTGTTAGGTAGGAGTCGTCTACTCAGGAATAGGATGTGGAAAATTAAGGACTGGCATTGGTGCTTTCTTTGCTATTTTAGTATAATATTCATAGGTTTAAGGTATACGGAATTAAAAAATTTTAGATAAGAGAAAATTTCCCATGTAAATAAGAAATTACTCTTTTCTTAATGGATGTTTTGAGAATAGCAGGTCCTCACAGACAGCAGGACTCCAGCCTTCCCCTCCTCCCCAAAACGCATGATTTCTCAGTTAGGAATTTCTTTCTTCATTTATTTCAAGGGAATTTGAGATCCTTTCTGTTTTTCTGAATATCTGAAAATTTCTAAATGTGAGGAGAAAATTTTTTCATCATTTAATAAATACTTACTGTCTTCCTGCTATGTTAAGTGCAATTCAGAACTGGCCATTAGGATATTAACTGTCTAGAGTGGAAAATTGTACAGTCTCTTATAGTTTATGGTAAATGTGATGTGACTGATACAAGGGAAATGCTCTAGTATAGAGAATTTTCACTTCTGAATAGTGATCAGAGGAGAAAATGAAATATGACCTGAGCCTTGAAGGATGGGTAGAATTTTCATAGCTGACAGCATCCTGATCAGGTATTAGAGAGGTTTTAAAACCAAATTAATTGAGCATAAGCTTTGTGTGGGAAAGGTAAAGCTTGTAGGGTTTGAAAGTTAGGTTGTAGCCAGATAGCAGGGCCTTGAATGCCAGACTGAAAAGTCCAGACTGTATTTTCAAACAGGGAGGAATCACGGACACCTTGCAAGCAGGGAAGAAACGCGGTGCTTTATGTGGTTTAGGGTGATCAGTCTGGTGGAGGTATGTGCAGAATGTGTTATAGAAATAAAGCGTGGAACAAGAATGTGAATAATTTAGTTTGAGAGAAAACTTTTAAAATGCGCTGGTTTTGAATACATCTTTTAGCAGATCACAAAGTTCAATCACCTTTTTTCTTTGGTAATTATTAATTATTTTTTTCAGCTCTCCGTAAAATCTCCCAAATGCAGTTTTATAAAAACCAGTTTAGTGTTTTTATGATGTTTCTCTCTGAAGTGAATATATACATCTGTGTGTCTATTACTTTTCTTTGAAACATTAATAAAACTTAAAAGCCGTGTCAAACCATTCGAAAAGTATTTCCTAGATGGCCTAAGTCACCTCTACCTTTTGTCGTTTTTCAAGGTAGAGGATTTTTTTTTTTTTTTAAGATTTTTTTTTTTTTTTTTCTTTTTCTCCCCAAAGCCCCCCCGGTACATAGTTGTGTGTTCTTCGTTGTGGGTTCTTCTAGTTGTGGCATGTGGGACGCTGCCTCAGCGTGGTCTGATGAGCAGTGCCATGTCCGCGCCCAGGATTCGAACCAACGAAACACTGGGCCGCTTGCAGCGGAGCGCGCGAACTTAACCACTCGGCCACGGGGCCAGCCCCCAAGGTAGAGGATTTTTTGTTAGCTAATTTTATTGGGATTATAATGGTTTATAACATTGTGTAATTTCAGGTGTACATTATTGTTTATCAGTTCCTGAATACACTTCATCGTGCTCATCCCTAGAGGTCTAATTTTTATCCATCACCATACATATGTGCCCCTTTGTCCCTTTTGCCCACCCCCCAACCTCCTTCCCCTCTGGTAACCACTAATCTATTCTCTTTATCTATTTGTTATCTTCCACATACGAGTGAAATCATGCAGTATTTGTCTTTCTCTGGCTTATGTCACTTAACATCATACCCTCAAGGTCCATCCATGTTGTTGCAAATGGGACAATCTTGTCTTTTTTCTGGCTGAGTAGTATTCCATTGTATATATACCACATCTTCTTTATCCATTCATCTGTAGAAGGACACTTGGGTTGCTTCCACATCTTGGCTATTGTGAATAATGCTGCAGTGAACATAGGGGTGCATAAGTCTCTTTGGATCATTGATTTCAAGTTCTTTGGATAAATACCCAGTAGTGGGATAGCTGGATCGTATGGTATTTCTATTTTTAATTTTTTAAGAAATTTCCATACTGTTTTCCATAGTGGCTGCACCAGTTTGCATTCCTACCAGCAGTGTATAAGCATTCCCTTTTCTCCACATCCTCTCCAACATTTGTTGTTTTTTGTCTTGGTAATTATAGCCATTCTGACTGGTGTAAGGTGATATCGTATTGTAGTTTTGATTTGCATTTCTCTGATAATTAGTGATGTTGAACATCTTTTCACGTGTCTGTTGGCCATCTGTGTGTCTTCCTTGGAAAAATGTCTGTTCATATCCTCTCCCCATTTTTTGATTGGGTTGTTTCTTTGTTTTGTTGTTGAGTTGTATGAGTTCTTTATATATTTTGGAGATCAACCCCTTGTCTGATAACTGATTTGCAAATATTTTCTCTCAGTTGGTGGGTTGTCTTTTCGTTTTGTTCATGGTTTCCTATTCTTTGCAGAAGCTTTTTAGTCTGATGTAGTTCCATTTGTTAACTTTTTCTTTTGTTTCCCTTGCCCGAGTAGACATGGTATTCAAAAACATATTGCTGGGGCTGGCT